GATCATCCAAAGCAAGGAATTCCTTTTTTTAGTTGTTCTTTGTTCTGTGGCTCTGTGATATGTGCATTTCAAAAACTGGCTATAAATGGTATAGGCATGCTAGAGGGAGCTTTCTTTTCTGCTTCTATTGTTTTGCTGTGTCCTGCTTATTAAGTGGAATGTCATGTTTTCAGGTGGTATTAAACTTGTAGTGGAGAAGTTCTTGGGTGTTGTTTCTCCTCCTGATACTTGACATGTACAGAGATCATAAATCGCTTGTGTGATGTCCTTTATAGAAACGGTACTGTGCTGATGCTGTAGGCCTATTTAATCTTTGTTACTTTTGGTCAAAATTTTCAGCCTTTTTGTCTTTCGGTGGCTGAAATTTTGGTGCATCTGTAGGTTTTATTAATGATTTAAGTTAGATAGGCTGTTGTGATGGACTCGTGACGTATGTTTAAAATGTGCTTTGCCTTTACCTCACATACATTTTTGTAAATGTAATATCAAGGGATCACAAATAGCACCCCAATCCCCACTACTCTGGGCAATTGAGACAAGACAGTAAAATTGTTTTAACCCAGTAACCCTAAGAGTAAACAGCATACACTACTCTATATTACAGCTGATTATGTATGCATAGTGACTGAGCTCTCTCAGCAACCTGCATACAATTATAAGTTCCTCTGTGAGTTTGCTGTGTGTAAACAAGCGTGAGTGTGCAAGTGCCGGAGTTATTCTAACCACAGAAGGCTTCACAGTGGGACAGCAAAAAGTGAGGAGGAGACACAGAGCATGAAAAATAGGGTAAACAGTGTGTGTGTGTGTGTGTGTGTGCAGATATATCACTAGCCCTATGACTTTCAGCTCCCTTACCTAATCAATCCACCCATTGACCATGCTTTAGCTCAATATCAACCCAACCAAAATACCAACAGTGCCACGTGCTTAGTGAAAACGTTTTCAGGGCTGTGTGTGTGTGTGTATGTGTGTGTGCGCATCCTGGTCCTCTGGCCATAGACACCTGAGCTCTACTGCTCCAAGGTCATTCACAGGATTCCTCTTCTTGTGCCAGTAGCAGTCGGCATGGTGCCTGGCTCAATCTATCTCCGTCTCTGTAGTGACTGTAGAAAAAAAAAAATCCCTATCCTCCTATCAGCTGCAGGACCTCCAGGAGGTGGGGCCAGATAAATGACCAATCGGCCAATCATTCAAGTGGAAACAATTAGTCATGTCTCCTCAGCTGCTCCACGCTGTGTAATTAGCCTCGTTAAGCCTGGTGGGTAGGCTCGCTCAAGGGGACACACGGACGCATCCATTACCGTGGTTACTCCCTCTGTCCTGTGGTCACATGTAGATGGGTTGTCCATCCCACGTGTCTTTATTTCTTGTTCGGGTGGATACATTGATCTCCAGTTAGGACATATTGGATCTTGTCAACCCCTACAGAATGTGATGAGGGACAGTTACGAGGGAAGGCCAAGCTAACAACGTCATTTTGCATGGGTAACAAATCACTGTACTTGAGTATTATAACGGTTCTAGGGTTCTAAAACTCGCCTTCCCCCACCAGGTTGCCCTGCAGGCCCATGAACTAGTGAATACAGTGAAGGTCAAAATGGTCAGTGTTTCTACCAGGGCTGAGAAGAAACAAAATACATGTAATGAGATTTACGTATTTACAATCCAGAAAAAGTAAGTGTAATCCATTCCAGTCAGCACTCAGATTACAGATGCTTTTGAAAAGTCAGATGATTGCTTGTAGGATTGCATTTATGTTTAACAGAAAAAAGTAGATAGATTTCCAAGCATTTCGATCCATTTCCACGCATGAATCTATAGGCTGAAACAAAAGAAATATTCAAGTGAATCAGGCACTGTGATGATAAAAATGATGTTAAGGGAAATAGATATAACTGAGGTCTAGTATTCAGTTACATTTTAATGAAATTTAATAGCAACCTTGGTTTAAGATTTTCCAATGTTTTTCCAAGGACAGTACTGTGAGAGTCAGAGACCACTTTTAATTTTTTAAAATTCCTTTCAAAACATATATAAACTACAAGTTAATCATTTCTCGATGTCAGAAAAGAAACAGAAACAATATATTTAACAGAAAAATGCACAGAAGCCTCAACATTTCAAAATTACTTCTCATGATCTAAGTAAGCTAAACACATACAGTGATGTTGAGGTCTGGGCTCTGGGGTGGACAGTCCATTGTTCTGAGAAAACCAGCAGCTTCCTTTTTATATTTATAAATTTTCTTCTTTTTGTCTAATTCCTTTTCCCAGTAATGGCTTCTTGACAGCTACACATCCCTTCATCTTTATTGTACTATGCCTTATTTTGTTAGTGTCTACTTCTTCCTTCTATCATGTTTTCTCAGTCCGTTTTCATTGTTGCCTTCTGTTCCTTTGGCCTCTCTGACTCCAATTTCCTCCAAATGTCCTCTACTTTTTACCTTCTTTCCCTTTGTGACTCGACACTGTGCTCTCTTCTTGCTTTCGCTATCTCTTTCTGTCAGCCTTGCGTGGTCTCTCACCATCTGTCTTATCTTCTTCTCCTTCTTTGTTTATCTCCCTCTTGGACAATTGGTCTTGCTGGTTACCTGTGCGTCATCGTCTCACTAAAGTTGGCCACCGCTCTGAGTTGTGTATTCGGTGTGGCCGATGAGGGTTTGACCTGACAGCCCTGTTCCCATACTGTCAACTCTTGAGACTTTCTCTCGCCAACTGCACCTGCCCCTCACGCTGGTCACAGCCAACTGTCACTTTACGGGGCATCCTGTGCCTGCAAAGAGCTTTCATGAGCCAAAAGTCCTTCAATGTCTCAGCCTGGCTGTGACACTGTTTGAGGATCCGTCTTGTGGAATTTCACCTGCTGAAAAAAGTGGACGCTTCGCTGACTTTGATAGATGTTGCAGATTCACTCCAGGTATCCTCAGTGCAATTGGTTGAGCAGTTATGACGTCTTTTTTGATTTTTATGTCATGTGAATTTCATAGTGTACTCACAGGCCAAACAAGCTTCTAATGAGAAATATATTCTTTTAAGTTACACTACTGCTACAAGCCTGATCCATTTAAACTACTGTTGTGTGTGGAAGCCTGTGTGCACTTGTGTTTTGCAAACATTGGCCCATATTCATGAAGCTTCTCTGAATAGTATTGCTGATCCAGGATCTGGTCCCATTAGTAATGCCATAGTAAATAAGAGTGGAATCTGATCATAGATCAGTAGTCCTACTGTGAGAAACTTCATAAACACAGGACACTGAATGTCTCTCAACATGACATAGGTAGGGTATACATAAACAAACCAGTGGAAAATCTTTCTCAGTCTATGTAGTCTGCTTTCTTTGAATTGGTTCACTTATCTAGCAACATGGAGCCTTTAGCTTGAGAATATCTTTCAGTGATGCGGAACAAACATGCACAGACAACAGCTGACATATTTACAATGTGCATATGGTATGATGCAAAATTAGCACGTTAATTATACTACCATAGAAACATGTATGTTTGGTTTCTGAGCCATAATAAGCAATAGTAATGTGGTCATACAGTTATGTAATTACACATGGCATAATGCTGTAAGACTTGCGTGAACTCTTTTCATGATGTGATAGCCTCTCATATTGTTTGACTGCATTTATTGAATGAGACAATAGTATTGCAGTACTGTGCAAAAGTCAACGCACACACTTTCATTCATTCAATGTCTAGTCAAAACGTCCAATAAGTACACATTATTCTTTTTCAGTGTCAAAATAAGCAGGACACATATATTTAACAGAAAATTACACAGAAGCCTCTAAGTATAATATCAAATTTATCAGTATTTAATTTGTCCATTCTTTCTTTTGTGCACCCTACGGCCACTTTCGCTTTTCCTTCCTTCCCATCTTAAAAACGAGTTACAGCTGTTTCCTACCAACAAAAGCTGTTCCCAGTGGTACTACTGGCATTATGTTCCACTTCAAAGAGCCACTAACATTCACACAAGCAAAGACCCCAACACACCTTAGGTACCTCGCACATTTCTTTCTCATGTGTGTATAAAATGACGATGATTTGGAAAAAATATTATTTGTGCGCCACACAGCACAGAAAAAAACAGATCTGTGTTGCTTTAAGACAAAAACATTTGTACAATCTGCTAATGTGAACATAGACCTTAATTTGGAATCAGAATATCTTGGATCTTGAGAAGCAGAAAGTACAATCAAATTCAGACTGAACTTGTGCAGAAAAGTGTCCCTGCATATTTCTTTGAAAAACTGAAAGCAAGTCTCCCTAAAAGAATGGAAACTGTATAAAAGTAAAGTGTAGATACGCCCAATACAGAAAATTTCATATTATATTTAGTTATTTATTAGTTATTTATCATATTGTACTTTGCACTCAAAAGCTGCCACATTTTCTTAATTAATGTATTCCCACCACTTCCTGTTCACTGTGCTCTGATGCATTAAGTCCATACAAAATAGTAAATACTACAACAAATAATAAATAATAATGCATGTCCTGTATATTATCAGTAGTGTTCTTGAATTTTAAATGATACAACCTATGATGAATAAAGTGCGTGTAGTGTATATTCCACCTCCTGCAGAGTAAGCATCTGTTGATTCGTCATCTGTTGAGTCCCAAATGTGCCTCTCAAATGAATGCAAATAAGAGGACTCTGTTCAGGGCTGTTTGGGGTTGGCATTGACCCCATGACTTCTGTGATTTATTTTAGCAATTTTTAGTCTAGCTTTCATAGCTTTCAGCTTTATGATATTATTTAAAGAGGGTCATCTGTTGTGTGTACTCTACGGTTTAAAGCACAACATTTATTGAATGAAACTAGCTGTTGGTCTAGAATGTCCTTTACAGCCTCTGTGGCATACAGAGAGTAGAATATTAGATTTAAGCATAAATTTAATTCTCTCTCTCCTCTGTTCGTCTCTCCCTCTCTCTTGCTCTCTCTCTCTCTCTCTCTCTCTCTCTCTCTCTCTCTCACTCTCTCTCTCAGTTCGTTGGCCATGTCTAAGGTGGCTGTGAAGAAGCTGCACTGGCGCTCCAAAGTGCAGGAGACATTTGTGCCCCTAGTGGGCAGCTCTGGAGAACTGGGTGTGGCCATAGGGGGCGGGGCCGATTATGGCGAGTTCCCATTCGTCACCTCTGCCCCAGGAGGTGGGATCACAGTCGGCGATGTAATCTTGGAGATTGGCGGGACCCCTGTTTTGGGGATGACTTTAGGTGACGTTCGTGGAGTGCTCAACTCCTGCCCCCATCCCATTCGCATCAAGACCGTCTCACCAGGTAATGAAGAAAAGTATTACACAGAGCAGCGTTAAGTTAACCTATGTTCTGCCCACAAATGCATTTTTCATAGAAACTAGAGTTTCCTGGTTAAAATGCTACACTATTGAGCTGGACTATGTTGTCATAACTATTGGAAACTAGGCAGGTTGGGATCAACAATGTTACTTTAATTGCACACCAATTTTTTTTTCAGTCTATACAAAAAGATGGATAAAAATCAGTATTTTCTAAAATTAATAATGCATTCTAAATTCAGACTAGGGCTGTCAAGCAATTAAAATAAAAGATTGCAATTAGTTGCATTATTCAAATTTGACTCTAAAAAGAGGTATTACAATTTAAGAAGCAGTACATTATGTTATAGCGATATGAGTAATCAAAATATGCTTCATCAGAATGTATTCATTTGTTTCAGAAATACAGTGACATTGTTATCATCTTGTAAAAGCAGGGTTTGCTTGAACATGAAAATCACGAGACCATAGAGTAAACACAGTTTCCAGTTTTCATCAACAACATCCAATGATATCATAAATATCATATACAGTATGCAGTCAGTGGTTCCAGCTTTTGTAGCCCTCTCTTGTTCATACAGCTTGTTGAATTATCCATAGGTGTCCCATGAGAACTGTCTAACTTAGTCTGGGAAAGATATCACTTTAGTCATTTAAAAACCATACTTGAATGAGAGGGCTACAATTGAAGGTTCTATCATAGCAAATACATTTCAAAAGCACCTGGGCTTCAGCCTAATCTGCTATGGATGGTCTGAAGGAAAATGCAGCGTTAAACAAATTAGTGGCATTAAGAAATTATTGTATCAACACGTTATTAACACATTTACTTTGACAGCCTTAGTTTAGACAAAAACTGAGGTATGTGGATGACATTTTCACCAATTTTCTGTAAAGCTCGCCTTGCAGCAATTGCAACGGAGGAACACATTTGTGGCAGGAATTTGGGTAGCTCAGTTATACTTGGGGTTTAATATCTAATGTCTCTCAAGAGGTCAGTAGAATTTTTTGAGTGCTTTAACATTTAATACAGCCACAGCTTCTCAAAAGTGACACTCAAACACAAGGATAGCATAGACAAGATGTAGTTCTGTAGGCCTAATTTATTTTGACAAGGTCATTGAGAGTTTGCTAAACATGATCAAGTGGATTTGATTTTGTCTGTACCCGCAGGCCATGCTTCGGCCACTGCTGTAATGGATGTGTTTGCATGGAACAATATGTCACACCTGACCATGACTCCCCCTGCCTTCTCAGCTCAGATTGATGACCAACAGTTCCTCAGTAGTCCCCTTAATCGCTCTCTATCTCTCCCTCTCCTTCTGAATAAATATGTGGCCATCTCTCACCTCTCTAACCCTTGATCCGAAGGTCACTGTTACCATAACTACAATACTGATACTGTAACTTGTTGTGCTTCATCAAATAGCTTATATATTCTTTAAGATTAAGCCAGTCTATGCATGCATCCTTTTGTGTGTGAGGCCATGCATTGTATCGCTTTTGTACATCAACCCAATGTTCCGGACAAAATAGCCTTTTCTAAATCTGGTATATCTATTTTAGTGCAGATCAATACGTATTGTCTCTGCTGAAATTCATCTAAAAGGTTTGTTTTTTGGTCATAGCTACAGAATCATTTAAGTTCATGCTGTGTTTCATTTTAACTTTTGTGCTTTATTGTATGGAAAGATTTTGATAAGCCAGTAATAGTTAATTAAGCTGAATTAAGGACATTTAAACAAATGGCCAAAAGGCAAACGGTACAACAGAATGATGGACCAGAATAGTATTCATTAAGGTACCAGTGTTTTGTGTGTATCTTTGTGTCTCAGTATGTCGGGCTGATGTCAGAACTAATGTTCTATTATAGCTATGAAATATGTTTTATTAGCTGGGCTGATGTTTTGTTGGTGAGGGGTGGGGTCAGTGCATCCCGGTGGCTGTCTGTCATTGTGACGGGCGGGAGAGGCACATGGGTGATCTTTAACGGCCAAGTGGCTTGTCATCAGAGCCCATAAAGCACTCCAGACCAAATGAATAGCTCAGCCAAGCTGAGTGGAGTGTTGGGCTGCCGGCAGGCATCTCTGAACTGTAACCTAAGATGCTGTGGGAGTGTGCACGTGTGTGTGTTTGTTTCTGCACATGTTCATAATGAATCTTAAAGGGCCCATATACTGCATTTTTCTTGTATTTCAGTTTTTTCCCTTAAGAAGTTTTAAATATCAAAAATGGTCAGAATTAATTTTTACTTGACCACTTTTTAAGCTCTCTTCATCCCTGAAAATAAAACAGGCTGTTTTTGTTACTGTGCCTTTAAGACTGAAATATGATAACTGAGCTCTGCTCTGATTGGCTGACCTGTATTGTGACCATAGACAGTATACATAAACTGGATCCAGTCATCCCTGCAGTTTTTGATGGGGACCAGGTGAGGTCAGTCGTGTCGCTTCCTTTAATCTGCTTCTCGTGCAGTGGACGGCGGGAACGTGTAAAACTGTGCAGGCACCCTAATAACGCAAATCTCCAGCATGCAGTGCGTCTACTGTTTATAGAAGCATTTTTACAGTTGTTTGTACCGTAGAGTTGTCTGTACCTGAGAAAAACAGAGCAGGAGAAGTACAGCACAATAAACACCAATGGGCCCAACTAGACATGTATTACATTACTGATTATTATAGAATTAACAAATACATAAATAAATGAATAAAAATAATTGTAAAAAGTTATTGTGGTAATAATAATAATAGTAATTATTATATAGTGAAACTGCTCTGTACTTTGTATTATTAACGAATTTCTACTTCTAATGTTGAAATGTCTCTTTGAGTTGTACATTTATCACAAAACTTTCTGTACTGTCATGGAAAAATGTTTATTTTGAAGCTATAAAGTGACTGACAGGCCTGTGGATAAAATGTCGGAGAGTCCAGTCTCTCTAGAAGAGGACAGGGTCATAAGGTAATCTAAAAGACTGAAGACAGCCCAAAATGAATAGAAGAAAAAAAAAATTACGGTCTCCATGGTGTCTGAAGTGAAGTAAATGACGCTTTTGGTTGCTTTGTCCTGCGTTGCTTTCAAAATCCTTTCATTTACTTACATAATTACCAAATACATGATCTATCTAACAATTTACAAATGCTACACAGTGCTGCAAACTAGGAGAGTGCTGCTGGTTAGCATTAGCTGTTAGCATAGCTAGCATGATAACAGCTCTGCTCACCACAGAAGATGTTAAATTCTGTCTACCTAAAGCACAGACAAAAGTTAAGATTATTAAAAATAATGTTTAAAATCTGAGGGAGTAAAGTCAAGCAACCACCGAGGGAACAGAAACATGAGATTAAAACTGTTTTGTGGTGTATGGACCTACAGGTGTATCAGGTAGCTTAAACAGATTTAAAACAGTCCACCCATCACAGTACAGGCTTGATTTTACTAACTGGTGCGCTGCTGGCACAAGTTTAGATGATAAAAACTGACAGAGCAGAAGTCGAGTGAGTGATAGAATGCCGAAATTTTCGTATTTAGTGTGTCCACTTTTTACCTTTATTACAGTTTCCATTTTTTTTGGGAGACTTAATTTCAGTTGATCTTGTAAAAATGTAACACTGTCGTGTGTTGTTCTGAGGGAAACTGGAGTTTTCCACTTTGCTGTTTTGTTAATTTGCTGCTCGTTGGTTGATCCATAGTTCTCCCGCGATCATCGTCCTGCATACTCTTCTAAATTAGTGATACTGATGGCATCAGCAATGAGTTTTTCTTGTAAATGATACTTAAGACTCTGGTACTCCAGTGATAAACAAATTCACGTTATGGCAGTAGCTGAAAATAACTCAGAGGGAGAGCCATTAATGGAAGTCGCCATTCAAAAGCTGCATTTGAACTAGAGTGCTTCGGTCACAAAGTCAGTCACAGCAACTTACAGCAAGTGAGCAGCTTTGCTTCAGGGTGGATTAACAGAAGGCTTGAAGGGTCAGACTAGGGGAACGCTTAAAATTGTTAAGAAATGAGTGGTGTCAATCATTTATCGCATTGACATCAGCTAGAATCCCTAGCCTAGTTAGTGATACAGCCGCGCCATCTCTGCTTTCTTAGTCATGTCCTTGGCAGTGCGTTCTTGGCAACGTGCTTATGTGTGCTCATACAGGCACTCATATTTCGGAGTAGGAAAGGATAACATGCTCCAAATATGAGCAAAACCGTGACATTTCAGTATTCAAATACTGGCACCTCAAACAGTTAATGGAGTATCTGAGTACCCCTGCATGTCTCTTTTTATTGACACATGACGCCATACTGAAAAAGTAGTTTTATTGGTCTTTTTTTCTGTGCTTCTTTTCTAACTTGTTTACGTGAATTCAGCTTGCACTGTGTCTGAATTAATTCCTGCTTCCCGTTGGTTGATTATAAAACACCTTTAAGATGTGCAAAGGTTAATCAATACTGCCTCCAGAGTGCTAATGTGTGTGGGTATATGTGTGTGTGTGTGTGTGTGTGTGTGTGTGTGTGTGTGTGTCTATGTGTCTGCATCTTTGTGTTTTTGCAAGCTTTCAAGTTTGCAGGTTTAGAGGTTGGTAAGGACACTGTTGCATGTGTGAGTGTGAATGTTAATTTCTGGGACACATTTTCATTTTGTTTGTTTATGGAATCAAAACAACTCTCTCTTTCTCTCTCTCTGTCAGGCTCAACGCTGTGTAAGGATCTGAGGTTGTACCTGAGTAAATGTTTTACGCCTGGATCCATGGACAGTCAACTTCAGCAGGTCATACGAGAAAATCTCTACCTGCGTGCTGTTCCCTGTGAGTCTCTCATACACATACACACATGAACATACACATACTTACATAGAGGAGAGTAAGGCACGATCTAATACAACCTAATTTGTTTTTTGCTAAATAATTTCAAAAGTATTTGAGCAAGATTTGTACATTTTATTTAAGTAGTCTATGCATCTCTGCGACAAATGTAGATTTGGGTTTCCAGCACCTACACTGTAAAACATAATGATAGCACTAACTTAATTATTTTGCTTTACTTTACCGATTTGTTTAAATTACTAATACAAATCTAGTAACATATATTGTTTCTTGTATAATCCTTATATAATGTTACTTGGGTAAGTCCTACAGGCTGAAAAGTCAGCTTCCCAGCATTTTTAGCAGGGTTTGTTGGGTTCTGTTAAATAAATTTTTCTCATTTTTAATTTATAAATATAATTCTCTTTGCAAATTATGCACTTTTTATTTTTAATAAAAAATAAATGTTAAATGTGAAGTTTGGACGCCTTTTACATGTTTTTTTTTAATCTCACCATGATGATGTGTTTCAAGCCTGTCATGATGAATGATAACATAATGGCAAATATGCATTAAATTATTAGAATTCTCATAAATGGGTGAATCTGTTCTTATCTAAGCCATTTATTCATTACTGCACAAAACAGTCCATTGAATATAATGGAGCTGTTTTAATTGATGCCAGCACCATGTATATATATTGGGCTGTTTGAGTTAACTTCACTTGCTGCAGAAGTGTGAATCACTGAAAATTAGAAAGTAACTCATTTATAAACTCATATATAAAGTTATATAAGCTTGAACCTGTTAAGTAAAATGATTTTTAAAGGAAAGTCAACTATTTTAAGTTTACACTGTACCATTTATAATCAGTTCAGTGAAAAGCGTCAGAATGCAAACATTACATCTTACTTAACAAACTAACAGTTGGAGGGGCTGATTGTAAGAATCTATTAAAACAAGTCTAGTAAATTGATGCAAACACAATTAAGTCAGTACAATTTTGTGTTCTTTGAACCAGATGAGATTTCCAACAAAAATACATAAAAATATATTCATCAAAATAAATATGATTACTGAAAAGAGGCTGTGTCAAATGTGGCTAATTGATTTTAAGTAGAAGAGCCAATATAAGTAGTATGCAATGCATATGTATATCTGTAGTATGTTTTTAATGAACCAGCACATAAAAACTTCCAAAACATCAACTGTTTTGAATTGATGTGGAGGGATATAGACTTCTCTCATTGTTTAGTTTAGAAGGCTTAGTTGTAACACTGTGTTAAAACTAACCCTGCCATGTGGAGGCTGTACATTAGACTGGCTAGCTCTCACTGTGAATTGTTTATAAACTTCAAAATGGTGCTGTGTTACAGCCACCAAGAGGGTGATAAAATAATATAGATGTGAATAATTCTGTGACTGATACAGACAACTCAGTTATCAAAAACACTTACGATGAAAAAAGTTCAATCTTGAGACATATCTATCCGATTGCTGTAAAAATTTGCTGATGAAGTTCTTATGGGAATACATGCACATGACTAAAAGCACAGTGAACTTGAATCTGTTTCACTACATAAAATATCCATGTTACATTTTATGCTGCCTTAGTTTGTGCCCTGCTCTCCACGTTATAACCTGACACCTGAATACATTCAGCAGCACATTTCAAATAGTGCTTAGCCATGTAACAACTCTGCAAGTACCAAACATGATCTTGTCTGCATTTTTAGGCGAGATGTGCTTGTGGTTAATGTCTGAGGTACATCTCACAAAAGGTTGTGTTAAAAGTTTCACATGTCTACAATTTGTGTGAAACAGTGTATAACATATTTACATAATTTCTTGCGTGATCTTTACTAGGCATGGTTCCCTAGCTTATATCTGACACACAGACTCTTCAGACTGGAAGAGTACGTGGCTGTCGCCAAGAAGCTAGTTTTAATTGGTGTGAGATCCGTTCTTCAGAAAGCTGCCACTGACACCTTTGCAGAAAGAGTGTGCAAAAAGACAGAGGGGAAGAGGAAGAGGAGAGAGAACAAGGAAAGAGGGCATTTTCAGCGAGGAGTTGGGTTGCCAGATTTCAGCCATGGCAAAACTGTGCAGGCCGTGGTAGGGTGTGGGGTGAAAAGGTGGGACAGGAATGGAGGATGGATGGGTTAGAGAGTTGGAGGAGGTGTTCAGCAAGCATCCAATTTGTCTTTATCGCATCAATATGCAGATGCATTCTGTCATTTCTAATGTTTTTTGTGTTTTAAATGGCCCATATAAGGAAAAACTGAATGTTCCTCATTTTGTAATGAAAGCATGTGATTCACTATGTACATACTGTTAATCTTACAAAAAATACCATTTATTCCTCTGCGCATACAGTCCAAACATGGAAACTAAACTGCTAAAACAGTGCATTTTGAATTCATATCTTTTATGATATCCTAAAAACCAACATATTTACACGTCTGCCTATGGGCTGATTTTTTTATTTTTTAATGGGGCACAGTACAGGGCAGCCAATAACAACAGGGTTTATATACATATATCAGTTATAAAGGCCCTTTGTCAAAAACAGTCATTGTGAAAAACAGTCAGTGAAAATTGCCAAATACCTGTAAATCTAAATGAATTTGGTATAAATCATTGAAATAGCTTGCAAATTCTCAATACTGATCAAGATTTATGTTTGCCTATTGAAATTATTTTGAAACCAACTAAACTGACTAAGATTTGTGTCTGTTATTTAGGTAGATCTGGATGGTATTTAGGTGCTATCTAGCAGAGTTCCAGTCTGACTCATTTCTCTCCTTATCCGATATAACATTACAACACATCTGTCTCTAAAAAGGTTGCCACCTATCCATGGGGTTCTTTTGGATTAGGTTGCCTGTTTTGGAACACAAAATGTCCAGAAATCCAAGCATTTTCATATGTTAGTATTTCTTAGGAAGTTTAAACTACTTCCAGTCAAACCATTTGTCCACGTAGAGACAATCGTTTGGGAAAGGTGCCCTGATGGTAATACACTAAATGGCGAAAGTATATGGACACTAGACCACCTATATGAGCTTGTTGGAAATCCCTTTCCAAAACCATGGGCATTATTTTGGAGTTGCGGACTATTATGGACTCCATTATTATGGAGTAGACCATTATCACTCCTCTAAACTTTACTGTTATCACTATGCATTCTGGTAGGTGGTGTTCTCCTGGCGTCAGCCAAACCCAAATCATCCAATGATACAGGGTCCAGGGATTTCACAGGGCTGAGGTGGCACACCTAAACTCTTGGCCTCAGAAATTGAATAAAAGAACTATGTAAATGAAAGATCATACCTGAATTTATAGTTAATTATAAAATGATTACAGTTGTTAAGGATTTCAATTACTTTACTCAAGTACTTGTTCGAAAACGCTAACGAGTATTGGAAACTTGTTAAATGCTCTTCGGGCCAGTCTTAATTTAGAATGAGATTCGACTGGACATTCTAACGACAGCACCAACCAGACACCAGACAATGACACTCAAAACTGAGAGTACCAGCGGAGTGATGTATGAATGAACTGTAATCAATGCTGTCGAGATGTCTTTTTTTTTGGTTCCACTTTCTTTTTGTTTCTTTTCACCCTCTATCTCCTCCTCTAACCCTTCTTTGTCTCTCACACTTTCACATCCGCCCTTTTCCTCACCATGCTGCTGCCTTTTCTCTGCTCTCACTCTCTCCCTCAGTGCTGTGTTTAACCCTAATTATCTTTTAGGTAATTTATTTGACATTTAAATCATCACATTAAGATGAGAGACAGATTTGGATTAGCCGCTATCGGAATCATAATCCGTAATTACGCAGATGGAGTTCTGCCAGTTAATAAAGAAATGGAAACATAGCTCTGTGAAAATGCTGGAAAATCAGAGATCTTCTCTCTTGCACGCTCTCTCTTCCCCTCTCTCACCCTCCCTCTTTCTTTCATGCTTCCCCTCTTTTATCTTTGTTCGTTCTGTGCTATCAAAATAGTGCTTGAAATTCTGAGAACAGAACATTAAATGGTGAGAGCGCTACATTAATCTGAACACATAATGACAGTCACTGAGTACTCGTTAAGACTCTGCTTGGGAGCACATATTTAGCTAAATCCAGTCAGTATTGCCCTTTACTCTAAGTATTTAAGTACACCTGGCCTCATTTGTCAAATGTAAGCATAGATTTTTGCACAAAAAAGCATATACAGCTACCTGGTGGGATTTATCAAAGTCATGTAAAGCAGTGATGAGAGAATAAAAAGGCCTCGTCTGGTGTGAGATCTCATCTGAGCGTAAAGTGCCTAAGGCACGTTCATAGTGATGAACTACCATATGCATCAATTTACTGCCATTTTTAGTGAAAACTTCTCACATTGAAATGCACAAACTAGAACAGCCCCGTATGAGAAACAGAAGGGCAAACCTTTAGATGAGGGAAAAAGCGCAAACCTGATTTTATAAGTGGCTTGTATGGGCCATTTTTGCACAGTCATTCCATAAGCTTATTAATATTAATTGCGTTGAAGCAGTGGACATGATTGAGTCAAATATTTGGTGTGACCAAATGCACTTAAATGCAAATATGCTGCAGATGTACTGTGTGTTATGAATATAGCAGGGATGCTAAGAAAGGCCAAGCTAAGAATCGACAGATTTTTTTTCTAAGTACAGGACTGGTTTTCGAACAATGTATTATTTTTATTTTGGCTGATCTGTGTTGTAGTTTTGTAATGTAAACAAAATGAGACAGGTAAGTACACTTGTGCTATATTTGAATGCTTCAGCTACACCTGTACCATGTTGTTGCATAATTATGCATGACTTATGCTAAATAGCTAGTAGCCTCTTAATTTCAATGTAATCAAATGTTATTTGATTCATGTTATTTAAAAATGCTCAGTTCAAAGATAAATATTAATTCAATGGCGTAGGAAATTGTAAAGCAGAGATTTGCTTAAAAACCTTAATAAAATATGTCCCTCACCAC